CATATATATTTTAAAAGTATCTGTGGTTGTCGAAATTTTACACGAATCAGTATCTATGTTGTGATATTGATACTTACAATTTAAAAAATTTGATTTTGGTCTAATTTTATTTATTAATAGGAATCAAATTTACAGTTAAAATGTACAGTTCTAAACATACCACATATTGCATTCAGCGTATGTTTACTAAAAAATGGTACTAAATCTTTCACAACTGTGCCTTCTGCATTTTTCAAAGATTTGGTCATGTTTTCACCTTCCTCGATCAAAATCTGAATAAAATGCTGCAATATATTAAAATGAAATGTGGGGGTTAATATCTTTCGTCGTGAATGCCACTTGGCGCCTGAAACATAAATAACATATCGCATAATTGTGTGATAACGATGTGCAGTAAAACATATATTTTTTATTTAATTTAAAATTAATTGATTTTTAATAACAACTGAATATTACAAATGTATTCTTTTTGTGATATGCGTTTAAACTTTTGCGACAACACATCGTGTAATACGCTTAATTGTTATCTCTTTTTATAATATTTATATTGGGGCGGCAGACTCGTAATCTGAGGAACCAGGTTCGAGTCCACTAGAGCCATGTAAACATGGAATGTTTTTCCGAAAGCTGCGCCGCTCCGTGCAAGATAGGCTCTTGTGCGGAGCAAACTGTCTTTCGGAAAGAGACGTTAAGCCGTTGGTCCAAATGGTTAAAGTGAGAGGAGAAGGGTAGTATTGGATGAGAATTGAGTAAAGGGTTGGGAACGTCCCTACAAAAACGCCTTGCAACTCTGAGGGGAGTCAATAAACGTATTTATCTTTAATATATTTATATTTAATATGATTACATTATTTAATAATTTATTTTTTTATATTTAATAATACAATTATTTTTTTCATGATTGATATAAGATATTGTGCAAACATATGTAAATCTAATTATGTTCGAAACCGAGCTCCTTAAACCCCGCGTGAATTCATCTCGTAATCTCCGCGGGAATTTGCCTCGATTATGTGAATCGTGCGTAATATTATATCAAGCTAAACTTTTATTTATTTTGGGAATAACCGGCGTTATTCTGAGAATCTTTGAGAGGCAGAAAAACTGTCTTTCTTTTTCTGCGTAGGCTGGCTTTCTCCTTTTGTCTCGGAGTTTCAGTACGCGAAGTAAACACCCGGGACAAAGCAAGAGATTTCAGCGAAAACAGCTGATCGGCTGTCGATCCCGAAATCAGCTCAGTTCAAATTAAACAAATATTCGGTACGTCGCGGCGTCGGCGGCAGCGATTGGCTCGACAAATTTTTTGGCTCGTTGCCGGGAATCCATCAGTGTTCGTGTGACGCGCTCGTATAAAATCCCGGACTTCCGCGCGCGGCCCCGCACTCGATTATAATTATTGCCCGGAGCGATTACCGAATATAACAGTATTGCTGTACTGAACCGAAACGTACGATAGCTTGTCTTTCGCAACGATTATCGAGAGACTTTCGTGGCTCGCGTCAAGTCTTTTTTCGGTACGAACTGTGGCTCGCGAAACGGAGAATTTTTCGACGTTCGCAAATTATCAAATCCGTGGCTCGTGCAACCGGCTTGCGTAACCGACTCAAACACATTGTAAATATTGTAAATATAGACTTATATTTCGACTGTGTATATATACTACAGATTTAAAGACACTTTCTCGAATTAAGCCTCTCTCTTCCGCGCCTCATCTCCGATTTCTTCCTCCGCTCGCGCACAAATTACAAATTAACATTGATCTAATTCAAGATAATCGGTTGGAAGAAATAAAGTAAATATTTTTAAATTGAATTCTCTTGCGTAGTAGTATATATGCTATTTACATTTAATTACATAGGATAATTCTCTTATCAAAATTGAAACTTAAAACAAAATTTAATAAGAAGCCAAAGCAAAATTTAATAAAGCATCTACCATTATTTATGTTAATATCGTTATGTTACCTTTACTAGTGAGAAGACTAGTACCCAACCACGGATGTAAAACATCATATATAAGACTCTTTTCAATGTGTTTTGTGCTGCTTAATATTGTCTGAAATTACAGAAGATATATTAAGTTAAACGTTATTTAATTCAGACGCCATTTAAATAATTAATTAGCTGATTTCAAGAGTATTTTAAATATTCTATCTTCTCTGAGAGATGAATAAATAGATTGTTAATTTTAAATATTTAATTATTTCCGACTTTTAATGATTTAAACATATTTTTTTCAAAATAAAAAAAACAAAAAAAATAAACATCTTATCGTCAATATATTAATATTAATAAAAAAAACAGAATAATATTTCTCTCATACTTCACCTCTAAATCATTCGGATGACGAACGGATATTGCAGGTAAAAAGAATAACCATATTTTTAAAATGGGATAAAACTTGTCAGTTATGGTAACCAGTAACTTCCATTGTTCTTCTAAAAAATGTATGTATATGTTTGTTATTACGTTCTGCGGATTTCACGATTTCCCTTTTTCGCGGAAATTCTTAAGCACTATAAGATATCCCTTAAGGTAGGATAATAAACTGAGCACGGACGGTTATCGATCAGCGAATGAGCATTGATCTCCTCACATTCCTTTTTTTTTATACAACTATAATAGCTATTTGCCTATAGGCGACGAAGCAACCTTCCAGAGTAAAGTATTGACAGACGGGGCATACGTGATCGGATTTTGTCTATCAACCTTGTCTGACCTATAACTATAAACCCGGCGACACGACGCGCCAAAAAGACCTGAATCCCAGACAGAGTTGATGAATATCTTTATTGCATCGAGCGAGCTTTCTAAAATTGCTCGTACGATGTTTCCGACAAACAGAGACAAAGTCTAGGACGCGTCTGTAAATACACGTGGCGGAAGTTCTGTTTGCCTTGTACCTACTATCAAGATTGAGAAGTATGCATCGTCTAGCTGTCGACATAAAAACAGGGTCGCGAGATAAATGAAGAACCTTAATAAAAGAGAAATCGGCGAATGCCGAAAAGCAAATGCGTCACTGGAAGAACCGATGGGTTACACCCCCAATAAGACAGTGGGGGCCTTACGAGAGGGCTCACCAATGGAAAACCGGAAAAATCGATAACCGTCTCTAGCTTTCTAGGATAGGCGAAAACTTAAAATTTATCTCTTGGGTGAGAAACATCTCGCCCAATAAGAAATCTCTTAAATAATAATTAGAAACATCCCGCCAACCAGAAATCCTTTAAACAAAAACCAGACACATCCCACACGAAATCCACCCTTTCCATCCTTCGAACCTTCCTATATAAATCGCGTTTATTGTTCGGTATTATAATCGTGGTTCCATTCGTTTCGAGTCACGATTCCACGTTTAGAGTCAGTGCGAGAGATCCGACGAAACATCAGTCGCCCCGACTCACCTACCGACGAGACCCACATCCATTTTGGGGATAATTCCAAGAACTTATAAAGTAGTAAGTCCTGTGCACATATATATATGTATATACATACATGTCGGTTCCTTTTTTTAATACATTTTTGTGTACGGGAAGTTTCTCGGTTAAACATTAAACGTTAATCCTTCCAACCCTCCACTTCTCTTCACTATTCCGAATTAGCTGAGTTATCAGTGGATTCGGAGTAATCTTCTTCACTGTTATTCCCGGATTAGCCGATTCATCGGCAGATTCGGAATAACCTCTATTATTCCCGGATTAGCCGATTCATTGGCAGATTTGGAATAACCTCTATTATTCCCGGATTAGCCGATTTATCGGCAGATTCGGAATAACCTCTAATATTATTCCCGGATTAGTCGATTCATCGGCAGATTTGGAATAACCTCTATTATTCCCGGATTAGCCGATTCGGCAGATTCGGAATAAGGGGCATTCCATGCGAAGTGATCCA